TGACCCCTTCTGGGGAGTGTTACATTATAGGACATAGATGGAATCTAACACTGACCCCTTCTGGGGAGTGTTACATTATAGGACATAGATGTAATCTAGCATTGACCCCTTCTGGGGAGTGTTACATTATAGGACATAGATGGAATCTAACATTGACCCCTTCTGGGGAGTGTTACATTATAGGATATTCTGATGTAAATCTTTTTTATTTCAAATTACTAAAGCATACAAGGCATGAACTTTCACTATTTCCAATAAAGGGAAATCTGTAGTTTTAAACCATATCTAAAAATAAGTGAAGGAGTAATTCCAGAAGAAAAGAAACAGGTTAATTCAAAACAGACTCTCAGTTCGACACTTGATACAGTGAAGAAGGTTAATCCTTTCACTGTGGCTGGAATGTATATTTCCCAGTGCTCCCACCCCCTCACACTGCGACTGAGACATATGGGAGTGCAATGAGATAGAGAGTATTTATTGGCATCCCACCTAATGTTGATATATGGTTTCCCTCAATGTTTTCCACTCAACCTTTCAGTAACCAACAAGATGCCTAAGTGGAATGCATGACAACCCTAATTACTATGTAAGTATGTTTGATGTGCTTGAATCAGATACTTCAGAAGATAGTGAAAATGAGTCAAGTGGTGTTCAAATGCATGACGATGAAGAGCCAATGAGACAAGAGGATGCTAGCTCTACATCTAGTGATGACAGTCAAGATAATGAGCCTAGACCCATCAGATGAAGTCATAAACAGCATTGAAAATAAGGAAACATCTGTCCCAGTCACAGTGTAAGGGGGTAGGAGCACTGGGAAATATATATCCCAACCGCAGTGAATGGGTTAAAAAAACACTCAAATTTAATCAAAACTACAGCAGTCCATTGTAACTAAAGTAAGTCAAAACCACAGCAGTTCATTGTAACTGAAGTAAACATCTTCTCATACTGTTCACACAGCTGTTATAACTTTAATATGTCTTTTTCCAGCAGCAGTTTTAGTTAGTTAGTTGTTGTTGTTGTTTTTTTTGGGGGGGTAGGAAGGGAGAAATAAACAAATTTCATATATAATTTTTATGTCTCATACCCTAAGCAGTGCACATTTTTTGTGCAAGTTAAATCTTTCAACAAAACAGATGTTTCTGAACTAGCTTTAAGAAAGAATGCATTTTCCAGTACACTCGCACTGGATATAATTAGCTGCCTTAACACACTGGCAAAGTTTAGCTAGGTTCTCTTGACATAATATTAAAAATATAGAAGCAAATTCCTTTCAATATGTGTACTGATGCAATATACCTGAATACGTGATGTAAAACATTGAAGATGTTTGGCCTTCTGTACATTCAAAACACAAATGAAGAGTTATAACCTAATAAAAAACGTTTACAAGTATTACAAGATAACTTACCAAAGCTATTACCGGGATCAACACACCTAAATTTCCAGCACTACCAGAAGCCTGTAAAGAATCGATCAAACACAGATTGCAATAGCTGATAATGAGCTTAGAAGATATGTTATACTAAAACATCATCTTGCTATTAAAATGCATGAAATTGGTTTGAAACCCATCACAGCTCTGGAATCTAGTTACTTAAATTATTGATACAAAAACTTAAGGATCAATACAATGTAGATACCACATCTAATCAGCCTTTTAACTGTGGGTAATAATACAGAATAAAATCAAGTAAAAGTAAAGTAACAAAATACTCAACTAATCAGTCTTTTAACTGCAGGTAATAATACGGAATAAAATCAAGTAAAAGTAAAGTAACAAAATACTCAACTAATCAGTCTTTTAACTGCGGGTAATAATACGGAATAAAATAAAGTAAAAGTAAAATAATAAAATACTTGAATATTTTTATTTGTTCTTCTTCATCTATTGACAGTTTTCCGATAATCTACAAACACCACAGTACTGTTTATAATGCCAAGTAACATTAAAGTAAAACACAAACACTTACTTTAAAAGCTGCGGGCTGCCTCTCTGAAACTCGTTTTCCTTCCAATCCTAGCTGTACAAAGAGCTCTAACAGTCTGACTAACAGTTCCAGCTGTTCAGTTTCTCCTTGAAGATTTGCTGCTATATTTGCCAAAGCATTGATAACAGATAGTGAGACATGTCTAAGAAAGAGACATAAATATAAATTATAAAAATGCCAAGCAATTCTTGTAATGACCAGCACCAATTACAGAATAAGGTAAGTATGATGATGATGAGAGCTACACTAGAGTACATTTTAATTTACAGTACTAGCTAGAACCACAAATTATAAATAGGAAGCCAAGAATAATTAGGTTTTCGTTATTCAGCAAGTTAGAAAAATTAGCTTTTTTTTGTTTGTTTTTGAATTTCGCACAAAGTTACACGAGGGCTATCTGCGCTTGCCGTTCCTAATTTAGCAGTGTAAGACTAGAGGGAAGGCAGATAGTCATCACCTCCCACCGCCAATTTTTGGGCTACTCTTTTACCAATGAATAGTGGGATTGACTGTCACATTATAACGCCCCCACGGCTAAAAGGGCGAGCATGTTTGGTGTGACGTGGATTCAAACCCGCGACCCTCAGATTGCGAGTCGAGCACCTTAACCACCTGGCCATGCCGGGCCTGGAAAATGAGAGATTATCATACATATCATACATATCATATATCAATAAAAGAAAAGACAAGAGAGAAAGATAATTATTATGTTTTCATACTTGTTTTAGAGGTATCCAAGACTTACTTATACATTTAAAAATTACAGCTTCCAATGGGTAAGTAAAAACAACTAATAGATGTTCCCGTCCGATGCATGGTGAAAGACTCATGAACATTTTTCCAAAATATGCCATTGGCAATATAAAGATTGAAAGTACAAGAGAATAAAATTGTTCATGTCCACTGGACTTGATTACTTAAATAACGTTTTATTTTCTACATCAATTCTTTTTTTATCAGAAAGTAATAAGTAGCATGTGACTTAAAAACATCTTACATAATATAAGTGTGTCTATCTTGAATGTATGTATAAACAATGTGTGAAAAAGAAATCCCCCAAATAACTGATGGGATTTGAAAACCAAATGCGATTGTAGAATTAATGTTTTACCAGTTAAAAATACAAATGATGTTTCTGTTTTTGTCCTAAATTTGCCAGTAATGATTGAAAGTATATAGACTGTATGTAAAATCTATGTAATGGAAGAGGAAACTGGAGAAATCCCATCAGTACCCCTAGTGGTTACCCAGAATGACTGATCTATATTTAGTCAGCACAAGAGCTATGAAATTTATGCATTTTAATTCTTTCACAATTTTGTGCTTGTTATAGTTTTCTTGCTATAATTTTTATGTTCACAAAATTTGGCAGATTATTAGTAAACATTACAATGCCTTCATAAGCAAAATATTAGATTATTTTATTAAGTCTTAACATTTTTAAGCAGTTTTCTCATGCCTTCTGTCTTTTTGCATGTTGCCTATCCAACATGCAAAGTCATTTTAATTTTAAGCATCAGAAAATTTTTAAAATTCACATGCAAAGTCTTTATAATGTCCAGATAGTTATCAAATGTTTCTTAAGAAAAAACTTTATATCTTATCTATTATTTTCACTAATGAATCTCTGTACGCCAAAGTTTGACCGATCTCATAACC